AAAAAGTTCTCAAATTATTTATCTTTTTCTCATTTTTTTACATCACAGAAACCTGACAATTTAACAGGGGTGTGTAGACTTTTTATATCCGCTGTAGATTAATCTGATATATAGAGGATTTTAGAGTTACAAAATCCCACCACTACCTGGTACACATCACATCATATGGATTAGGTTTCCTGGGCTTCTATCACTGTATCATCACCTAAGGCACTGAGCCATGTTTCTACGGTGCCATCTGTACAGTATAATATATGGCCAAACAGGAAGTGATAGGAAATCCCTGCAAATGAAGGGAATTCCTTGGGGACCCCCACGTCACCAAGACTAGTGTCCCCAATGGATGATTTTCCTCTGCTATTTTTCTGGGGACAACCCAGAATTTGGGGTTTCTTTTACTTTAAAAAATAATGGTAAATAGGACTGAGAGAGAAGGAATCTCCTTAATGGGGGGAGGGGGTCTTGGGCACAGGCAGCAACATAACCAGACAGGTTTTCTAATCTCTCTCCATCCTATCCAAAATTTAAAAAAAAAAATTTGCCTTTAGTTATACTTTAAAAAAAAACTTTTGCCTTTAATATCACTTTAACTGAGGAGGGGAGGGTGTATTTCAGTTTAGTTGTGCTTTAACTCTTCAGGGTTCTTAGATGTGGTTTCTATACCTGCAGATATCAGATAGTCCATCATAAAACCAAGCAGGTTGAATCATTTGCATCCAAGGAAATCACTGTTTAACAGTTTATGAACTACAATACTATTAAAGCAGACCTTTCACCATATATGTAAAGGACAGTTTTTTACATTTGACCTCTCATCTCCCTTGCATAACCAAAATAAAATTGTTACAAAAAAAAATACCTGTAAGAGGAAAAAAAAAGGGGGGACTATATACTCACCATTTCCAGCTTCCACCTAAGACCAGGGGCGGACTGACAACTCATGGGGCCCCTGGGCAATAGGGGATCATGGGGCCCCTGTGTCTTTGCCCAAACTCAAAAAAGTCTATGAAAAAGATACCAGGGGCATCTCATGGGGCCCCCTACTGACCCCGGGCCTCGGGCAGTGCCCGAGTTTCCAAATGGTCAGTCCGCCCCTGCCTAAGACTAACATCATCCTTACAGAGAGATTTGTGGAATGTAGAGTACAAAAATGATGCTTCTAACACTGTGCTACAGTTTTTCTGATAAGATTTCGAGTAGCTAGTCCAGGGGTGGGCAAACTTTTTGACTTGAGGGCCGCAATGGGTTCATATATTGGACCCGGGGGCCGGACCAAGAGTAGATGAATGATGTGTATGTGTCATCCATAGTAAGTATAGTAATATTCCCCCATAGTAAGCATAGTAATTAATCCCCCATATAGTAATTCATCCCCCCATATAGTAATTCATCCCCCATATAGCAATTCGTCCCCCATATAGCAATTCGTCCCCCATATAGCAATTCATCCCCCATATAGTAATTCATCCCCCATATAGTAATTCATCCCCCATAGTAATTCATCCCCCACATAGTAATTCATCCCCCATATAGTAATTCATCCCCCATAGTAATTCATCCCCCACATAGTAATTCATCCCCCACATAGTAATTCATCCCCCATATTAATTCATCCCCCATATAGTAATTCATCCCCAATATAGTAAGTCCCCCATATAGTAAGTCCCCCATATAGTAATTCATTCCCCATATAGTAAGTCCCCCATATAGTAATTCATTCCCCATATAGTAAGTCCCCCATATAGTAATTCATTCCCCATATAGTAAGTCCCCCATATAGTAATTCATTCCCCATAAAGTAAGTCCCCCATATAGTAATTCATTCCCCATATAGTAAGTCCCCCATATAGTAATTCATTCCCCATAAAGTAAGTCCCCCATATAGTAATTCATTCCCCATAAAGTAAGTCCCCCATATAGTAATTCATTCCCCATATAGTAAGTCCCCCATATAGTAATTCATTCCCCATATAGTAAGTCCCCCATATAGTAATTCATTCCCCATATAGTAAGTCCCCCATATAGTAAGTCCTCCATATAGTAATTCATTCCCCATATAGTAAGTCCCCCATATAGTAATTCATTCCCCATATAGTAAGACCCCCATATAGTAATTCATCCCCCATATAGTAAGTCCCCCATATAGTAATTCATTCCCCATATAGTAAGTCCCCCCTATAGTAATTCATTCCCCATATAGTAAGTCCTCCATATAGTAATTCATTCCCCATATAGTAAGTCCCCCATATAGTAATTCATTCCCCATATAGTAAGTCCCCCATATAGTAATTCATTCCCCATATAGTAAGTCCCCCATATAGTAAGTCCCCCCTGTGTCAATTCACTTACCTTTGCTCCTCCGCGCGTTCCTCTCGTATTCCCGCGCCGTTCTGGTCTTCAGGGAGGACTGTGAGAGAAGAGTTCGTCACGCTGCCCCGCCTACATCCTGGCTGCCCCGCCTACATCCTGACAGCTGCAGAGTCCTGACGCCCGAGAGGAGGGAGGGGGCGGCCATCCTAGAGGGGGGGCGGCCATCCGAGAGGAGGGGAGGGGAGAGGAGGAGAGGAGGTCGCCCGCCCGCCCGAGAGGAGGGAGGGGGAGCGGGCGGGCGCCCGGCACACAGGAGAGCCGCATCTATTGTAAAGAGCCGCGGCTTGCCGACCACTGGCCTTGCGGGAGCCTAGCTCCGCGGGCCGGATTAAAAGGTCCGCCGGGCCGTAGTTTGCCCATTGCTGAGCTAGTCTCTGAAACCTCTTCAGGAGGATGAGGACATCACCCCCCTGCACCACAGAAGCTGGAGGAAAGATGAGAATAAAATATATCTATATCTTTATCCCCACCTGCAGTCACTAGGTATTTTTAATAACTTTATTTACAGTTTCAGCATGGATAGGGGCAGCAAAGGAGCCCACATGTAGTGCAGGATCCACTATAATGCAAGTTATATCATTACATGTGTGAAGTGTGAGATGTGGTATATTGAATGTAAACCAATGAGAATTAGGATAGTAGATTATTATGCACATCCCTTAATCTCACCTTCACAGAGCACACCAAAGTTTCACAACTCTTATAAAATGTTCATGGAGGGGGTTAGAGTAACAGGTCTTTTTCGCTTCATGGTATAGACAAAGTGACTGGTTCTTGCCAGATGTGGTAATTTGCAACGGCTGTTGCTTTGTAGAAAGTCATAGCGGATCTTCACACATTGACACCAAAAGGTCTTACCCATCAAATATGCAAATCCTTTGCTACAACTAAAGCTAGGATTAGCAGAAACATGGTAACAGGGTACAAATTTCATTTGTACATGTCAGGCAAAAGAACATTTTTATTAATGGGTGGCATGCTTGCTTTGTGGATTTTTGTATTGATTTGTACTCTTTGAGGAGAGTGCTGCTGAGCTCTTGAGATGCCTTTGTGCCAAGATTACTGTGCATGTGCCCTTCGCTTCTGAAGGTAAAGACGATTTCTACACAGAGTTTTTTCAGCTGCTAACTAGAAATTGCTAAAGAGCTGTAACATATGAGAGAAAGAAAAAAAAAAAAAAAGGGAGGAAGGGAGCAATATAGAGCTTTCAACAGCCCTTATGCAAATATGTTGTAAGATGGGATGGCAAAAGGAACATGAGTTGGTAAAGCAATAAAAAAAAAAAAGCCATGAAAAAAACAACAAGTTTCCAAAGAATTACCTTCAAATTAGGAGTGAGAATACTTGCCTTTCCCCCAGACATGCAGTTTTACTCAGCAGAAATCTCTGTGCCATCCACTTAGAAAACCACACTCCTTGGAGTGTTGATCTCCATGGTCTCTCACAGCTCATTGGTCCTTCTGACCGCCACATTATTACAGGATACAGTAGGAGGTCAACAGGAGAAGCAAATTAGAGCTGCATGCAACCCAGGAGATCAGGTACTCTTAGAAATGTCAGATTGCCTGCAGACTTGTCTGGTAGATTTCTACTAAATGGAGCAGCCATAGGGTTGTGTATGCAACAAAAATGTATTCCCTCTACTATTTTATAGATACAAAACAATACAAAAACAAATGTTTCCAACACAAGGTCAGTTTTAAGGGTTTATAAACCCTACAATGAACTTCTCTATTTTGCTTTACTTTTGGTCTGCTAAATATATATTTGAAAGCCATTTGTTAAAGCTGAACTACAGGTATGAATTTTATTGCATTGTTAAATTTGTCCAGCTTGGACCAATGTAAATATGCATATACAGTACCATACCTGAGGTACCACTGTGGAAGCATCTACCTGGGGTAGGTGTGTGGGTGAAGGAATGGGTGTATATTTTTATTTCTTGTTTGGCCCACTGGCTGAATGACCCATCTATGGCCAGATTTACCTCTCTACGCCCTTCTGCACACCATGTCTGGTCACCCACAGTGATAAAAGAATTCTGATACCACTGCAAATACATATAGAAGTGCCAGAGCTTCCGACGCTAACCAGTACTCTGATCTATTTAACCATTTGAGGACTAGCATTATAAACCCCCTTCCTGCCCAGTCCATTTTTCAGCACTGTGATACTTTGAGAATTACTATGCCCTGCAACACTAACTCAAAAGTTTTTTTGTTTTTTTTTTTTAAAGACAGATTTCTGTTGCCAATATTTAACCACTAGCCTACAGGGCACTTATACCCCCTTCCTGCCCAGGCCAATTTCCAGCGCTGTCACACTTTGAATGACAATTGCGAGGTGTTGCAACACTGTACCCATATAAAATTTTTATAATTTTTTTTGTGACAGATAGAGCTTAATTTTGGTGGTATTTAATCACCTGTTGTTTTTTATTCTTTCTTAAACAAACCAAAAACCACTAAAAATTTAGAAAAAAAAAATGTTTTCTTAGTTTTTGTTATAACATGTTGTAAATAAGTGATTTTCCTCCTTCACTGATGTGCACTAATGAGGCTGTAGTGATAGTCACTGATAGGCTGCACTGATGGACACTGGTAGGTGGCACTGATGGGCATTGACAGGCATCACTGATGGGCACTGAAAGGCAGCACTCATATATGGCACGGACAGGCAGCACTGATAGGTGGCACTGACTGGCACTGATGGGTGACACTGAAAGGCAGCTCAGATGGGCACTGATATGTGGCATTGATGTGCACTGGTAGGCACTGAAATGTGGCACTGGCAGGTGGCATGGATGAGAGCACTGACAGCTGTTACTGATGGACACTGACAGGTGGCACTGCTGGGGCTACACAGATCATCAGGGCACACTGATCATCAGTGCTCTGATGATCTGTGTACATGTCCCCTCCGAGGAATGCCGATTACTGGCTCTCTTCTCCTCTCGAGCTGTCAGCTGATAACCGGCATTTCCCTGTTTACATGTGATCAGCTGTGATTGGACACAGATGATCACATGACCGAGCCAACATCTTCGGCTCCATTGATCAGTGATCCGCTGTGTCCGAGGGACACTGCGCACCGCCAATTGCCACGCTGCACGCTCCCGGAGCCACGCATGCACAGTGAGAATGGGAGGACGTCATATGACATCCTCCCAGAACGAGAGAACCGCCTTGCGCCCGTCATTGTACTATATGGCGGGCGGGAGGCGGTTAAACGTAAAATAATGACCTGTTTCCCGCGTTTAAGGTTTGACCTCTGCATCTGCGTTCTGCATGTAGGGCAGCCCATTCATTTCAATGGGTTGCCCTACCCGTAGGCAAAGAAGTCCCCAACTTTTTTCTTTCTTTTTTTTTATTTAATTGCGCTGCACCAATGGCTCCTGCTGCCTTTCTGTCCAGTGAGAGAGAGAGAGAGAGTGGAGAGAGCCACTGATCTTGGGCACATCGCTGGATCAAGATCGGGCTCAGGCAAGTTAAAGTGGGAGCTGGGGGGATCATTAACACAAGGTTTTTTACTGTAATACATTCTATGCATTAAGGTAAAAAAAAAAAAAAAATAAGTTAACTAAGGAACCACATTAAATTCTGCAAATAGATACCTCTCTTCATAAATTTAGACAAAAAAAATACAAATAAGTGTTTATTTTTTTAGTCTGTGTCAGAGTTAGAAAGTCTACAAACTATGTTTCATTTATTTGAAATGTATCAGCCCTGATATTCTGACTGCCCACTGCAGCAATCATGCATACAGAGATGGACGCGGTCCTCCATCTTGTTAAGGGTCTTCCATCTTCTATCATGTCCTACTCCCAAATCAGCTTTCCTCGTCCACCCTCCCTCTCTGTTGAGTGACATGTGGTATGGATGAGGTAGAGGTCACAGGCGTCAAGCTCAGCGGAAGAGCTCCAGGGCTATAAACCTCAATTAGCTGGTCCCCAGATGTCTGCCAAACTCTTGCTAGAGAGGGCTCATCAAGCCATAAACCAAGCCCTCACTGAACTTCAAGGCATTCCAGGGAGTCGTAAAAACAGACTTACATTTAAAAACTCCCTTTTTCATATAAGTTCATATCTTCAAATAGGACAGAATTACCTAAACATGGAGCCCATATTCAGACGGCTCAAGTTTAGACCATTCTCCTGGTATATTACACCCCCTAGCTGGCATATACAGGAGAGAAGAAAAGTATATCTTCTGAACCATTCCAACAGATATGTCATATTTCAAATCTAACCATTCAGCAGATGCATCTGCATGTTAATCTACTAGTGGCAAGGCTGCTAAATGCACCGAGAATAAGTTATGAACCATAATATGAGCTATGAGAGTTTTTGGTCATAGCTTGGGTCTCAACCTACAACTCCCTCCCCAAATGAGGCGATTGGTTTACTGCTCCAGGGAGACAACCTGTGGAGTTTCTAGAAAAAGCTAAGCTAAGCTGAGTTTTGAGAAGTTGAAGAATCTCCCTGTTTTAACATCGGAACTGACAGTGGGAGATAAAAAATCTGTCAGGAATGGACTTTCCAATAGTGGTGGGACTCACCTGCCTTGTGGGCTGCAGTACCAGGGCTGGCCAGTGGGTGCTCTCAACAACCAGAGGTTCACTTCAGCAATTAGCCATCACCTGGGGGCCCGGTGCCTGCCGCCCTGCCTGGTGGCCCGGAGCCCGCCGCCCTGCCTGGTGGCCCGGTGCTCGCTGCTCCGCCTGGTGGCCCGGTGCCTGCTGCCCTGCCTGATAGCCCCGGTGCCCGCCGCCCTGCCTGGGGGCCCGGTGCCTGCCGCTCCGCCTGGGGGCCCGGTGCCTGCTGCTCCACCTGGTGGCCCGGTGCCTGCTGTCCTGCCTGGTGGCCCGGTGCCCGCCGCCCGCCGCCCTGCCTGGGGGTCCGGTGCTTGCTGCCCTGCCTGGTGGCCCGGTGCCCGCTGCTCCGCCTGGTGATCCAGTGCCCAGCCCGACGTGCCTCCGTCCGGTGCCCAGCCCGAAGTGCCTCCGTCCGGTGCCCAGCCCGATGTGCCAGTCTTTGATATCCTGCCAGTCACCGGACCCGGGCGGTGGAACATTTTGCCCAGCTAGGACTGTTTGGAGCGTCCTGAGGCCGCTCCTTGAGGGGGGGGGGTACTGTCAGGAATGGACTTGCCAATAGTGGTGGGACTCACCTGCCTTGTGGGCTGCAGTACCAGGGCTGGCCAGCAGGTGCTCTCAACAACCAGAGGTTCACTTCGGCAATTAGCCATCACCTGGGGCTGATTGCAGGTGGTGTATTTAAGGGATGGCCAGACCTGCAGTCTGTGCCTTGGTGTGTGTTTTTCCATGGGCCCCTGTATCTTGTAACCTGCGTTCCTGTTTCTGCCTGACTTGTTGCCGACCCTGCCTGATCCTGACCTCTGCTGACTTCTCCTGTTTGATCCCTGGCTTGTGACCCTGACCATTCTCTCCACCTGCTCCTCCTGTACCTACCTGCTCGATAGTTATCGACCCGGCCTGCCTCACTATGTTGTGCTCTATATGTGTATGTACCTGTGTATCTATATCAGTTAGGTTTGGGTTTGTTTCACCTTGTTGTATGTAATTGTGTTAGCTTGGGGTTTGGTGCACTGCGTTTATATTTGTATTGTTAGTCTCAATAAATTATATTATTTACTATATCTGAGCCTACGTTTCCCTGTGTCAGTCCACACACTTCTGGTCACACCCGCATCCCTGACAAAATCCTTTTGCTCTGAAACCTGCTCTGCTTAACCCAGGATGTGTGGCAAGTACTTTAACCCTCTAAACTTCTGTTTTATCTCGTTGCTGTGCTATTGTTCTCTGTATATTTATATATATATATATATATATATATATATATTGGCTACATCTTTTTCTGTAAATATTTTTATTGCACCCTTTTGACCTTTTAGTAATAAATCTTACTTTCTGAAAGTGTTGAACTGTTTCTAAAGCCCTTTAATGCAACTATAGCACCCCTGCCTCTGAAGAACGCTACTGTGTGTTTTAAACGTCTGCATACATCTGTCTGTGGTGACATTGTGTTATTGCTGATATTGCAGAGTTTCCTCTTCCTCTGTACAAAAAGGAAGGGGTGGCAGTGTGAAGGGTAAATTGTGTAATTAACATGACCCAGTAACAATCGCTCCCAGGCTGCCGGCACACAGGCTGTGGTCCATTAGCTGGAAAATTGTCGTTACGCACGTGACAGCGCGGTTTTAGATTGGCTAGTCCTTCGGTCACGAGTTCAGTGAGAAGGGCTGGGGTCTGATGCCACGATCGTCACACCCACCTCTGCCCGCAAATGCCAGGACAGTATAAACACCCCCAAAACTACCAATTTTAGGAAAGTAGACACTCCAAGTATTTCATAAGAAGCATAGTGAGTTGTTTGAAGTTGTAACTTTCTGCCACAATTTTTTTTAAAAAAGGAAGAACCAAAATGTGATTTTATTCAGCTGTAAGTTTAACAAGTTATTTCTCACATACAGCAGAGGCATACTTACAATTACACCCCAAAACACATTCTACTCCCGAGCATATGGATTTTTCGCAGCCTAAGTTGCATAGAGGGTCCTAAAATTCAGAGCACCATCAGGCTTTCAAAGAACATAAATAATGCATTTGATTTTCTGACTACCAATTTCTTGAGGTCCTGAAGTACCAGGACAGGAGAAACACCACAAAATTACCACATTTTGCAAAGAACACCCTTCAATTTATGTAATTAAAGGCATGAAGATAACATTTTTGCCAAGCTATTGGAAAATGAAGTAAATACATTTTTTTTTGTTAACACACACAGTGTCAATAAAATATTTCACAAACAGCATGGACATACTTAGAATTTCTTCCCAGAACACATTCTGCTACTTCTCCAGGGATATCACGTGACAATTTTTAATGTTTGGACAGATTATGAACCAGGCATTGCATCTTGTGTAGCATACAAATCAACAAACATTGTATCAAACTGTTTTATGCTTGCTAATGCTTGCTTCCTTACGTGTGATCAGGGAATACAGCCCAGTGAAGCATCGCTTAAATCAGTCCCCTTTCCTTGCCAAGCAAGCCTACTGGTACGTGGCTGCCCCCAGAAATGCTATGTTCATTGGCCAGGAGGTATGGGAGGCTGAAGAAAGGGTGAACAAGATTTCCTGTGGTACCAGGAGTGCAGTTGTCTGCAGGGGCTGGAGTCTCGCAGGAATATATTCAGTGTGATATGCAGACGGCTGACTTCAGGTGGAAAACAGAGACATGGTCAATAAAACAGGCAAAGAATCAGTCAAGGAAGCAGTCAGGAACATAGACAATAAATAGGTCAGGTTCAGTACAAGCAGCAGGCAAAACTGCACTTGTATGGCAAGGATCAGGAACACTGTTGCTGGCCGCACTGGCTCTGGTGACACTGTACTGCTGGAGCAGCAATCAGGGATACGGTTGCTGGCTGCACTGGTTTTTCGATGATCAGGAACACTTTTGTTGGACGTGATCAAGGAGACTAGCTGTACTGATATTATGACATTATACAGGGGGTCAATAGCAACCAGGGACACTGGCTGGCTGCACTGGTACCATTGGTGTCACCAGACCAGACAGCAACTGTCCCCGATCGATCACCATAGTGACTGCACTGTACTGAGTTTACAACAGCTGGATGGCAAGTGGTTAAAAGGAGATTAACAGTCTATAAAACCGTCAGCTGAAGTTTACATCTTGGCAGGATAACAATGCAATTCAGTAGTGTTTTACAAAAGCAGAGTTTGTAGTCCATACCATGGCTTATAAAACTAGAAGATGACTAGACCTTCTGAGCGCCTTAGTGAGTTTCAAATACCTCAACAGACACGCTTTCAATCTAAAACTAGAAAAGCTACAATTTCTGGGGAAACTGTGTGACGTGTTCTTGCCTCCACCAGTAGTCTACAACTGGAGTGGGCGAAGTAACTGGGTGGAGTGGCTTGAGTAACTGTTGTGTGGTAGGAGTGGCTAAAGTAACTGTGAAAAGGTTGGACTGGGCAGAGTAACTTTATGGAGTGGGCAGAGTAACTGTGTGGAG